GACATAAAATGTCGTCGCATGATCCCTACCTAAAGACGAAAATGAAGAGCGAACAATGAATCTAGGAAGAAGTAAACACGATATATCATGTCTTATTATTATATGTTTGTAGAGGGAACAAGCCGTACCATGACCCCAGTGTAGCGCATGGTCTAAGGGAGATAATCGTGTTATAATTATCAGGAGATAAACCTCTGTTTCGAAATTTGAAGTTGTTTCACTGAAGAGTAGATACCTATAATTTTAATTTGGAACTGAGCGCTACACCATAGCGTAAGCGCGTCAGCGTAATGTGGGAGGATATCCCTAAGCTACGTAGATCTCTTAAACGTTCACAACTTTCATGAAACCACGGATAAGGCGGTGACAGGAACACAATCAATAAACACACAAAAAACACAATAACAACATTAATTCAATTGTTGCGTTAAAGACAACACCGTAGCAAGGGTAACAAAGAGTACCATCTTTTAACGTCTTTGGTTTGACGCGGTTTGGGACCGAACTACCGAGCTTCCTGGCAAACTCTCTATCCACGTGTACTTGACCACAGAGGCGGTGGTACATATTAGTCTAGCATGGGCAATGTTTCTATCACAGCCTTCTTATGGGGTTTACTAACATAGGTGTTTAACATACGTGATTTTACCAGCTAGGAAGTGCATATTGGTTTCATTTGACTCGTATTCCATATCGAAACAAGAAGAATTATGCAAGACCACCGTCTTTATATGTTATTGGTAGGCCATACCAGCCTGGTTCCCTGGGTATGCTGCGCTGGCGCTACTCGGTGTAGCGCCAGCGCAGCATACCCAGGCAACAAGGCTGAGGTCATAACGCCGACAGCTGTCACCTGAGCAGGAAGCAGCCGCCTAACACATGTTAAGTATAGACCGGGGCTCAGTCACTGCATGTTGGTCTTAACAAAAGCGGAATTCACCAAAAATCTATATTAAGATGTAAAGGCAGTTGTTGATGTTTACGTGAAATCAAGATGGCTGATTATAAGTGTGCACCCCTGAACAGAATTCCCTGGGATGTTGCTAAGTCTATGAAGGAAGTGGCGGCATATGCCTCGTGGCATGCAGCAAATCATTTCGCGGGAAGAGATGGAGACGCTGCGCGCGACGTAGAGGCAGCAGGCCGTCATTACGACACCTTGTGCTGCTATGGCTTATTCAGCAACCGCTTCTGTGAGCTCTTCAAGGACATGGCCTGGGCGGCAGCTTGGAGCACAGCTAATGAAAGAATGGGCACCACTGACGAAGCAGTTAAAAATAAAGACAACTGGAACCTGTATCATCAAGCCCTGACTAGAACGAAAGAGACCACGATTCGTATTGCCGATGAGCTCAGACATCTGTGTTGGAATTCGGCATGGTATTGTGCCAACACACGCGCTCATTGGGGACTGTTTACTTCGGGCGACGCAGCGAGAGATGCCGAGAGGATAGAGCTCCACTACAACAACATCGGAAGTGAATGTAAGCTCGTGACGCTAGAGTTCATCAACGAAAAGGCCAAGATTACAGACACCGTCGCACCAAAGTTCTTCGCTCAGCAGAAGCTTGAGAACAGGAGTGACAGTCCCCAGGAAATGTCTGTGCAGTTCTCCCATTACACAACACAGACCAAGTCATGGGGACGTGACGTCCGTTGGGGGTTCACCGTGGCTGGGGGTGTAATCACGTGTCTGTTTAACATTCTGGGAGGTTACATTGGCATCTTTAACTTGGATAAAGGTTTCAGCGGAGATGGTGCAACCGGAAGTGGTGAGGTGAAGACGTACACGTTCCCAGTTCGGGTGGGGCCGAAATCCACGGTGGAAGCGAAGGGCGTGGTTCAAGAAACGACCGCAGAAGTTCCCTATTTCATGGAGTTCGACATGGGCGGAAGTCGCTACTGCAGAGCCGGTACGTGGAAGGGCGTTGTAACCGGCAATGTGGAACTGAAGATAGGCGAAACGGTCAAGCTGAAATGACTGAACGTGTGTATCATTAGACTATACAGAATGCCCACGTTATTCCAGGACGTCGTTGTCTATTTGTAAAAGTTTTCTGAAAAGTCTATGAGACTTATGGGTAATCAACTATAAAGTACAATGCATTTATTATTATTTTACATGGTGAGTGAGTGAGTATTGTTTTACGCCGCTTTTAGCAATATTCCAGCAATATCACGGCGGGGGACCTTAGAAATGGGCTTCACACATTGTACCCATTTCGGGAATCTAACCCGGATCTTCGGCGAGACGAGCGAACGCCTTAACAACTAGGCTACCCGATCGCCCCTTACATGGTTAAAACCATGTCGTTATTAATCTACTTGTTCGTAAGATTCCCAATATATTGTTAGTTGTTCATTCTCTTTATTCGCTTTGGGGGGAGTCTTTGGCGATGATAATAATAGACTGTGGAACTGAAAGGCAAATGAATGGGATTATACATGTGCATTGTAAAATTGTTCAAATTGTTCAAATTGTTCAAATTGTTACAAACGTTACCACGACAATACCAGGCTGAAAACAGTCGCTGAAACACAAACATATGGTCCAAGACACAACATCACCATCGTATAACCATTTCTTGTTTGTTTCGTTTTAAAGCCACTATCACACATGAGTGTATACTTCCTTGTGTCCGTATGTTTATTAAAGTACCATGGTGTACAATATAGTCCCAAAAGTAAGGGACATTCTATGGTCACACGACGATTAAGAGTAATTGTTTGAGAGGCATGATAGTTCTTGGGTACGTATCAATTTATCGAAGTCTCAAGAATATAGTTTTGGCAATAAATCATATTTGCGTGTTTTTCGGTATTTCTTTAGTATGTACATAATTTGGTTGCATCATTTCCCATGCACTTGTCTAACATCATGATGAATGCAGATCAGGGCCGAGACTTGGAGCAGTATTTCAGATGTACCATAGCGTTCACAACTCGTATAAAACCACGGTCTGGTGGTGACAGGAACACAATCATATTTTGGAAAGGATCTTCATTTCAACCGGACCCGTAAAGATCCGGGATAGAATAGGTCATCAGCAACCCATGCTTGCCGTAAAACGCGACTATGCTTGTCGTAAAAGGCGACTAACGGGACCGGGTGGTCAGGCTCGCTGACTTGGTTGATGCATGTCATCGATCCAATTGCGCGGATCGATGCTCATGATATCAATCACTGGATTGTCTGGTCCAGACTCGATTATTTTCAGACCGACGTCATATATATCTGGAATATTGCTGAGTGCGGCGTTAAACAACAAACCAACCAACCAAAATCATTTCAACCGACGACCAACGGAATCAGACACGGGTAAGGGGCGCAACTCTGTTTAGTATAGAGAAACAATAACAACATTAATTCAATTGTTGCGTTAAAGCCATCACAGCAGCAAGGGTAACGGATGTACAACTGTTACAGTTTCAAACACTTGTCATCGGTACTTTTTTTCAGAAACATTTAATTGACAATAAAAGTTTCATCAGTTCGAATGAGTTGTGATTATGAGGGATAAGAACTCCCTCATCTATTTGTTGTTTTAATGCTGAGCATGACATCAGTCAGCCCATCCTTTAAGCTTCTTACCCAGGGAAAACAGCAAACAACATGCTGTAACACATTAATCTATTAAATTAGCTTGGACCAAATAATTTCTAAAAACAAAAAACACACATTAACAAAACATCGACTGCATGTCGTTCAAGGGACAATTATCTCATTGAAATTAGTTGTGTTACATACAACCGTCGGTGTGCCAACAGTAATGACAATATTGTATAGCGCTTCTCTCTCTCTCTCTCTCTCTCTCTCTCTCTCTCTCTCTCTCTCTCTCTCTCTCTCTCTCTCTCTCTCTCTCTCTCTCTCTCTCTCTCTCTCCAATCCCCTGTATTTATACGCTATACATGAAACTTCATATGGTATTTACTAGGGCTGGGACGAGTCCAAATTTACTACCCGGGTATCCGCTGTAGGTCTTATAAGGTAGGTACAAACTGTCCGATTGAGAAGAGTTTGACTGTAGTCCTGGCAAAATGTGTTTAGATACGCGTATAAAACGATCTGGTGTATACACTGAAGTTGACTGAAGTTTATTTTTATTCAAACATATAAAAGTCAGAAGGAATGGGCGTAGTTGTCAGAAAGAACTGCGAACATTAGTGACTTATAGTGTAACCATAGAGTTCTAGATAATTTTTGTCTTTAAACAATATATCACGTGACTGACCACGGATCCGGGTAGTCCTGTGGGTACCCGAGTACTACTCATTACCGACCCTTCCCGAGTACCCGAGTTACCCGTGCCAGCCCTAGTATTTACACATGCATGTGATCACTTAGTCCTGCACCATGACCGTGGAATATATTTATTTTATGAAAAAGACATAATCTAGAAATGCATACAAAAGCAAGTCTAGCCAGCTCAAGCTAGCTCTATTCAGCATAGGGAATTTTATTTTTATTTTTAGAGTCAAGAAGGATATTGTGTAATATAAGATTTCAGAGACTAAATGTTAGTCTAGTGATCACTATTCATCCAAGGCTACATGAGTCCAACTGGAAATACGTGACCGTGTCAATGGGTTTCATCAATATCCAGTTAGACATGGTGGCTAATACAAGCAAACCCGGCCTGTGTACGAATACGGTCATTGATAAAGCCCACACTTGTGAGACAACCGAAAAGTCATGTTAAAACACGTAAAGGTGTTTCCCAGGCTAAAAATACATGTCCCAAATAGCGACGTCATTATGTATAAATAGAAGCGGATGTGACGTCAGACCCGGCGGTGATGGCTGTTATGTCGTGGTGGCCGATAAAAATATTTTCATACTAAATATCTGTTTCATATCCTGAAGAATGTATTTTTACAACCAGCGTATAAACATCTGTTAAAGTAATTCTGCACTCAAAATATCCTGAAGCATTAACAGTTTTTAGGTTTCGCTTCACCAGATAATCGATGTGTACATCATGACGCACCAGCCGAATGGGCGTTTCCTGCAGTGGACTTCTGCGAACATGTATCGACACGATAACAGGGCTATGATTCGCTGTATATATAGCCCTGGAAGCGAGTCTCAGTTAGACAAACGCTACACTTCGAACAGGGAACTAGCTAGCCAAAGCAAACTCAGCAACCACAAAGTAAGAATTTATGGCTGACTCGATTCATGGTTAGATTAAGAACGTGCATATAAGCCTGGCATACATTTTGTCATAATCCGTCCTTGTCAGTGTGATGTTACACTGAAAATTACCCGAGGCGTTCACGGCGAATTGATTAATAAATTAACCTACTTCCAAATGTACGACTATCTACCTGGATACCATACATCGGGATTATGATTTACAGATATATTTGACGCACTGTTATCGTTATTTCTAGCCACACATAAGTATGTACAGATAAACTTTACCGCTTAAGTTGGGCGATAGGTTTTTCTCGACATAAATACTTGCACGTTGAACTGAATAACCTTGGTCTATGAATCTCTCGGTGTCATATTTAGTGACATTATATTAAAGATGGATTGATAATCATCGGTGTATCATGGATACATAGAACATTGATCTATAGCATACATTTTATATAAACGGGGATCTTACAACTCAACCGTCCGTATCCTAAGCGTTGTAACTTGACATGAAGGTAGGCCAAAGCACGCATACCGAAGTACCCGGTAAACTTATCTGTTGACCTAGAATGCATATATAGTGGATCAGTGGTATGAAAAACACATTAGTCATGTGACATTGTGTCATGAACGATATCAGAAAGTGTACCGCGGTCCAAGGCGACAAGTCATCTGTGTATGTGTGTGTAAGTGTATATATCTATATAGCTATATCTGGCTTTGTTTAGGGAGTTAGGATTGTGTAAAAGTAGGACTCGAGTCGGGAACATTGGCAGTCGAGGCGAGTCATTAAAACACCGCTTTATTTGTCTGCTAACTTATCGTGTATGGTATATATCCATCTAGACGTTAATACACAGATACAATATCGTAATTTCGCATGTCAAGATCCATAATGGAATGTACATTGTACATCAGACATGATTGTCAGATGATTGTTTGTTGGTTGTTTTGTTGTTTAACGCCGCACTCAGCAATATTCCAGCTATATGACGGAAGTCTGTAAATAATCGAGTCTGGACCAGACAATCCGGTGATTGATATCATGAACATCGATCCACGCAATTGGGATCGATGACATGCATCAACCAAGTCAGCGAGCCTGGCCCCCGATTCCGTTAGTCGCCTCTTATGACAAGCATAGTCGCCTTTTACGGCAAGCACGGGTTGCTGAAGACCTATTCTACTCCGGATCTTCACGGGCCCATGATTGTCAGAGATGATTGTCTCCCTTTAAGAACGCATTGTGGAACCAGGCTCTACAGGACATGGTCCCGTTCCACAAAACGACCTTAGCACTACGCCTGTCTTAAGTGTGTTAAAGTGAAGTAGAAACGATCGTGTTAGTGCTACTTAAAATCGCTTTGTGAAACGGGTCCTAGGTCTTGTTAGACCGTCTTGGTTAAATTCTGTCGTGTCTGTGTTATGTAGTATGACATAAGATCCACTTAGCGCTAAGATCGTTTTGTGGAATGGCGCCCTGCCCAGCCTGAGCCCCGTTCCACAAAGCCATCTTAGCGGTAAGGTGATGGTAACTACCATACTTTAACGCCGGCTTAGGTCTAATTGTGTTCAGCGGTGAATAATACGTGTTATTTTGAACAGATCCCGCATTATGCCTCCTTCAAAACAGAAGTGCAAGTATTGGGAAAAATGTTTCCGCAACTCCGAGATGCACCGAAAACAGTTCTTGCATCCGTCGGATGATGAAGAGGCGAAAGAGGAGAAGGGGGAGAAGGAAGGTGGGTTAAATGGGAACCTACAGCTGTTCGTTCACCATCTTCCCGAGGCAAGGGAATTAAATTGAAACTGGACTTTTACAGTCAGTTAACTCCCTTGCATCGGAAAGACGTTCGTTGACCAGTGCAGATATAGACGTCAATACTGATTGGATACGGCAGTGTGTAACTGAAATGTTATCTTTACCAAAATGATTTTAAGTGAAAATGTGGACTGCACGTGCACTGTGCTTTTATAGTACATATACGGGGTGATGGGAAATCTAAAACACGAAACGACACGTGAACGACACAAGTGAAAGGCTTGTTTGTCGTTAATTAGGTTTTTAATCCAAATTTTGTAATTGATCCAAACCTTGGCTCCCTTAAGGGTTTAGTGTTTGTATGACTAATCACCATTCCATTATTAATTCATTTTCAACCATTTAAAATGCATCAAAATATGCATAACTTTGCAGGTGGAAATCTGTAAAAATTGCAATGTAAATATATACATTTTAAATTTTGTAATGGGTTTGCACAAATATAGTGACATCTTTTGAAAATGACTCTTATAGGAAACCTTATATCTGTGCGCATGCCACACATGGCGTCTTGGGCAGTGTTTTATTAACTGTGTTGTGTTTTTTAGACACTGGAAAAAAAGAGGATGTCACAAAGAAAGCAGGAGCACCAAAGGAAAAGGTAGGCAGCGGATACAGAACATGATCCTTCAGCATGCTTCAGGGGCTGTCGGGTAGCCTAGTGGTTAAAGCGTTCGCTCGTCACGCCGAAGACCCGGGTTCGATTCCCGACATGGGTACAATGTGTGAAGCCCATTTCTGGTGTCCCCCGCCGTGATGTTGCTGGAATATTGCTAAAGGCGGCGTAAAACCATACTCACTCACTCAGCATGCTTCTTGGTTGTATCTAATTAGTATTTTCAACTTTTGAAGGATGACTCCTTGCTTTGTTTATTGCTGAGAATTTGACGTACAGAAGAAATTGGAATAGACTATCACAGCTGTTGTCTAAAACATTTAATATTTTCATGATAGATTGGCGGTGCCTCTGCAGAACCAAAAACCCCGAAGAAGTTGGTAAAGGTGAGTTATCTCCCTTTATATTTCCCAGCTGTGGTATAATTGCCAATCGTGATTTCAGATGTCTAATGAATAAATTGATGTGCTAATCGTGATTATGAATACGTATAATTGTATTTAATTATCTCTCTCAAATGTGAGAAAGAATCTTGCAAGATGTAAGAGCCATGCTTAGTATATACTGTGTGTACGTCAGATGGGCGGTGCCCCCAAAGCAGAGGAGGACGATATGGACACGACGCCAGCGAAAGAAGTGAAAACATTGAAGAAGAAAACACATGCCATGAGTCAGAGTGATGGAGAAGATGAGGAGGTTAGTCGTCATGATAATGTGATGATGGTGATGATTAGGTTGCTGATCTATGGTAATACTGGGATAATATACACCTAAACATAATTATTGTCACCCCGGCCTAGATACAGGGGTGACAATAATTATAAACATGGGTATAGTAACACAAGTTATGTAATCATCACCACCATCATCATCATCATCATCATCATCATCATCATCGTCATCGTCATCATCATAATGATAATAATAATAATAATAACAACAACATCAATTATAATATAAAATTTTGAGAAATAATATAAAAAAATAATGATGATAAAAATGTGATCATGATGATGAGGAGACTCAATTAAAAAATTAACTTAAATTGCATTAACCAAACATGCCTAAATGAATGATTTCTTTCAAAAATAGATTAATTTAATATAAACATTTGCAATACATATTTATCTGCTAGCAGGATGAGCCAGTTGCTGCATCTCCATCCAAGAAAACCAAGACAGAGTCGGAGGACAAGGAGGATGAGGGGGCGGGGCCGAGTGTGGTGAGGAAGGTCCGACTGAGATGCAAGTACTGGGACGAGTGTTACCAGACAGGCAATGCTCATATCAAGCAGTACATACACCCTGGAGACTACGACGCTCCTGATGGTATGCGAAATATTTTGCAAAATACATTATTACATTATTAATACTAATGATTTTAAGCTGACCACTTCATATTCAACATATTTGTACAAATGGAACACAACATGTATGATTGAAATTTGATTAAAAACAAATTATGTTTTATTATTAATTCATCTTAAAAATATTTAACATGTTTAACTACCGGTATGCTTTTTGCATCAATTTTTGACAAAGACTAAACGTGTGTGAGTTTTAAGTTTCTCTGAATTATTACAGATGAAGAGCTCGAAAAGAGGCAGACAAGAACAAAGATGAAGGCCCCGATCAATGAGATGAAGGATGGAGAGACTATTGATGTTGATACATTCAGGATCAATAGGACAGGCGACACCTATACCTGCACGTGAGTACCAGCATCACTCGTAGCCTCATACCTCGTCAAGACAGATCCCACCTTATTTATAAAAAAAGTCATGTTAATTGTTGTACTAATTCAGTATGTAGCATATTCATTACTACTTATGTTAAAAATGAAACTAATTTTAATGTAACTGACAATTAAGGTTTGTTATTGAAGTAATAACAAGTCTATCCTGGGGGTCCTTTAAGGTCAAGATGAACCTTACAACACAATATGTATGATGGAAATTTGATTAAAATCAAATTATATTTTTATTATTAATTTATCATAAAAATATTTAAGGGTTCATCTCACTAATATCCCACCCAACCGCTACCTACACTAAACCATTCCCCATGCAAATTACAGATACAACTATCAACTAATTTTCTGTCCAAAAATATGTAAAATTACATAATGTAGACTCAAACATCCCTACCCCTATTCAAAATCCCCATCTGCATCTATGTACTGTCAGGCTGTTTGATGCAGACTGGACACTAAACGCTGGTGCCATGTGTTCACAGTTGTCCCATGTGGAAGAAGCAGAAGGATACCCCGGATGCCAGGACGTGTAAGCATCTCATGGAGTACCTCGGAGAAGAATTCGAGAACAAAAGGACTGACAAACCAGCCAAAAAGAAGAAGGCTCACATCCCTGGTCACATCAGTGTCAGCGTCCTCCTGGCCCAGAAGTATGACCCAGAGTGAGTAACTGCACACAACTACTACGATGATGATGATGATGATGATGATGATGATGATGATGATGATTATGGTGATAATATTTATAAATTTGTAAATAATGGTCATGATGATTAGGTTAAGATGATTCTGAGTTGGATCAGTTTTCTGAACATTTTCTCCTTTTCTCACGATGATGATGATGATGATGATGATGATGATGATGACGACGATGATATTATTTTTAGATTTGTAAATAATGGTCATGATGATTATGATAAAGATGATTCCAAGTTAGATCAGTTTTCTAAACAGTTTGCCTTTTTCCCCCAGGGCAGTGAACCCAGTTGGATGGTGGATCAGTGAAAAGCTGGATGGAGTTCGAGCATTTTGGAATGGAAGGTACTTGATGACTGACCTGTACTCTAATAACCAGATTACCAGATAATCAGATTACCAAGTAATTAAGAACCAACCATTTAATAATTGTAGAAGGGGATGGTGGATTTTTATAGTTTGGTTCCAGAAAATACAGCAGAAAAATAAATTTGCCTTAGATTTTTTAGACAAAAATAAACTTGGAAAAGATTTCTTTGGTAATATAAAAAAGGGTTTGGCTCCCTCGAAATAGTAAAGGGTCAGCCCCTGTCCTTTCAGCAATTAAACTCCTAGATTATTATGCCATTGTCTGTATATTTTCAGATGTTTCTACTCCAGACTGGGCAATGCTTTCATTGCACCGGAGTGGTTCACAAAGGTATGGTATTTTAGTTCAGTTGTTTCAGTTCTAATTACTTTCTAAACTATTATTGTAACTGATGAAATATATGTTATCATTATATTATTTGATTACTTGATTAACGGGTTCACAAACCCCAAATTGGCCAATGTGGATTTTTTTCCCATTCTTCCCATTGAGTTTCTTCATTCAGTAATAAAATCTACTTCAACATGTTCAAAGTAGGTAAATATAGAAAGTGAAGAAAGCCTTGGGCATTTTTTATTTTGACCAACAACCCTGTTTTTTTTAAATAATATCTGTAAATCATGGTAAATCAAAGGATTTGAAAAAGTCATTGTTTTCACAAAATTAATATACATGATATATGTAATAAACAAGTAGCTATATATCAAATTTATGGTGCATTTGTTCTTTATAAGCTTAGTGTTGTCTGGGGTGTTTCAGGATCTGCCGACAGACATGCACTTGGATGGTGAACTGTTTGGTGGGCGTGGCAAGTTTCAGTCGACTGTCAGCATCGTTAAGACACCTGAGGACGAAAGGTGGAAGAAGATCTCATATCATGTGAGTATCCACTAGTCTACCAGACAATCTAACATTATGTCTAAGTTGAGATCGAGATATCGGCTTTTCTACAAAATGTGTAATTTCATATATAATTTTAATATGAAACAAACCAATTTTTACAAGAATGAATATGCCAATCATCATCATATTTCCAGGTATTTGATGTTCCAAACCTAGAAAAACAACCCTTTGAGAAACGCTATGAAGAACTCCAGGGGTACTTCGACAAAGCCAAGTGAGTTTCATTCCTGTAATGGCGAATGATGTACGTCCTAAACATTTACCGTCTTGGTGAGACCCTGAACATGGGTATCATACTCACAGACCAAGGATCAGGATGAATCTTGATTCAAATCAACAACCATCAGATCCTATAATGCTATCAACTGTTATAAACCGTTTCATAAACCAGAAAACTAGTTAATGTTAACTGTAATCCCGGTGTACTTTCAGACCGAAATATGCAATACTGTGTGAGCAGACCAAGTGTACGAGCAAGGAACATGTTGAGGAAGAGCTTGAGAAGGCCCTTGGCCTTGGCGGAGAGGGTGTGATGTTGCGAGAACCCAAGTCGAAGTACGAGAGACGGCGGTCACCGACACTGTTGAAGATGAAGAAGTTCCATGATGCAGAGGTAAACAGCCATCAAGAATACCCTAATCAGCATCCTTCCTTATGTCCCCTCATTCAGGGGCAGATAACCAATGCACACTTGTCAGCTGGATGAAGGTGAAGGTCACTCTATGCCAGTCAGCCCAAATAACTGATGTACTAGAATTGTATTACTAAACAGTTTATTATTCATGAACTTGTGTGATTTATCATGAGCTGTTGTATTGTTTCATGAGCTACTGTATATTTTAATTAGTATTTTACAACATATTCATGAACTAAGTAAGGATAAGAAGTGATGACTTGCTTGATAACAGTGTTAGAACCTACACCAAAACGTCGCTCTTAATTGTAATAAAGAAGTTGTTCATCCATACATTCTTATCCTTACTTAGTACTCCAACTTCTAAATGCTATCAAAGAAGATATTCATGATTTTTTGAATATTTTCCTGAATTGCTGTATGATATTTTCCTGAACTATTATGCAACATATTCAGTAGCTATTGTATGATTTATTCATGAACTATTGGTCTGTTGTTTAGGCTGTAGTCATAGGCCACGAGAAGGGAAAAGGGAGGAATCAGTTTGTGTGTGGGGCACTTCGCTGTCGCATGGAGTGTGGAAAGGAATTCTCTGTAGGCTCTGGGTAAGTTCAACCAAAACAATATCATTTAATAGGCATAACCATCATTTGTCACAATATATCAGTTTATAGACGTTGTCAGAAGTTGTTTGTTGAATTATAAAATATCTTAAAACCACAAAAACATGGATCCGTATTTTAATATCTGAGAAAAAATAATTTTGAAAATACAATATCGCAAATTCATATTATATTCCAAATTGATCCTTGCTTCATGTTTACCAGTATTTTAAAAGAAGTTTAGTATATTTTTTCCCCCCATTGTTGTTAAAGCCTGAGTGATGCACAGCGGCGGAAACCCCCAAAGATTGGCGCCATCATCACCTACCGATTCCAGGAATATACGAACAGCGGCTCACCTCGGTTCCCCACATTTGTTGGTACGTATTACTGACACCAAATTAAACACAAAATACTCATCATAAGATCACGTCATTACAGATTTCAAATTTGCATTGCAATGAGTTAAAAAATCGCAATATAAATTCAATATAGTGATAAATATTTAAGAAATATTGTGATCATAAATATATAAGTGAGTGAATGAGTATGGTTTTACGCCGCTTTCTAGCAATATCCTATCAGCATGACAGCGGTGGACAACAGAAATCTGGTTCACACATTGTACCCATGTCGGTAATCGAACCTTGGTCTTCGGCGTGATGAGCGAACGCATTAACCACCAGGCTACCCGACCTCCCCCATAAATATATAAGAAATATTTGAAATTTCCTATTTTACGTTTTCGTACAGGAATCAGAATTGATGCAGATGGACCTAAAGATGTAATACTTCCCGACAAACCCGAGTGATGACAGACTTGTTAAGGGGAATGTGAAACACTGCCAAACACAAAGACAAGCCTTGACAAGAGTTCATGCATTCATTGATCAGAGATCTTCATACAACATCAAGGCACTGTTACATCAAGTTGCTTCTTTTGAGAAGTGTTGTCAGCACCAAGTGGACCAAGTGGATCATGAATGAATCTTGTTTTATGCTGCAATATTCAAATTTTACACTACCTACATGTCAGGACCAGGAAAACAGTCTCTGCATGAGCAACGGCCAGGCACCATGACACAGAATCATTCAGATCATTCATTGTAACCATATCCTCATTAATCAACCCTTATGACAAGAAAAGTGTTCTGTGAAACCCGAAATCTCCACTTGAAAAATTATTACCTTTTTAACTATGTCTGTTCGTCATAATGTTTAGTTTATTGAATTATATCATAATAAAATGGCTGATCTGGTCTACGAGATATTGATGCAGACACTCTGGTGACTCAATGAGATGAAAACATAGGGAGTAACAATTTTGCTCAAGTGCCAGGGTATCATGGGAAAAAAACTCATAAAAAACATTTTATGTGTGCTTCAGACAATATTCATCCATAAACAAGGCATCATATATATATTTGTCTGGTAAAAATAACAGGCAGACAGTTTTGGGGATTGAGTTTGGGGTGGATGGATATTTTGTTTTAATCTGTCCCAGAAAATACTGAAATATAAATTTGTCCCAAGTTTTTAAAAATGCACTTGTTTAGTGGACATTCTAAAATAATTGGTCCTGCTTCAAATAAATTAACCTCTCCCCCGAAATTCCAAGTCCCTCTCAGAAAACTAAGTGGTCGGTTCCTTTGTTTCTGGGTGGGTGTTCAGTTTGTCTTATCCATTCATGTACTTAGCAATAGTGTTGAGTGACAGGTGTCACAGTCCACATGATGTATATTACAGTGTATGTGTGTGTGTGTTTTTTAGAAGAGAGATATCATTAGCATTGTTATTGTCTTTTCACTTACACCGTTTGCCTTTCATTCATGAATATCATTTTACGATATATTTATCGTTATTGAGTATCTATTTAAATGAATTTTAATATTTATTCAGTACTTTTGATGTGCATATTTTTATCATGTCATCCTGTTAATGTAATGTGTCATATACAAAATTGTTTGTTTAAATTATTTTCTAGATTTATAAAATTTCTATGCAATTTTTGCATAAATTTTGTGATAATTGCAATCTCGTTAAAATCAGATCTAAGTTCTCGCTGAACTAAACAAAGCTAAGATCTGATTTTAATGACATTGGAGATAATTGTATAATACTGTAACAAATAATCCATCCAATGCTGTTGAAAAGTGCCATAAGTACCTATATATTTAGTGTATCAGTACTTGAGATGTCTGGGTCTGGTTTTCACCGTCCAACAGAATGATGTTTGTACCTCCTACACTTCAGCAAACCGTTAAGAAAGTCAGTGTTTGTTTTGTTTTCTTGGTATTGTTAGCATAATAAAATTACAAATGTGATATTGTATTAAGTCTGTTTTTAGGGGTAAATATGTTTGTGATATTGTTAGAGATGCTACTTTGATCGTTATTACCCATTACCATGTTGAACATTTACCACCATATTCCATTGCTATGAAAGAGTGTACAGTGGAGAGCCATCAACTCATTTGCTCCGAATAATTTTTATTTTCATGTTGTTTTTACTTGTATTATTTACAAATAAACAAATTGATCAGGGCTTCTTGTCTGTGATACTTATTCCGTTTCACAGTGAAAACATGGCTGTAGCAGGATCGATCACGAGGGGTACATGGGGTTTTATGCATAGCCGAGTGTTATAAAACGGTTCAACCTAACGAGGGATGCATAAAAACACATGTACCCCTTGTGATCCCGCCACAACAAATATATCTTACCGACATGTTTTAATCTGCTACTGTGAAAGAATTAGAACAAATTCAAAACTGATAGAAAATAGCTGTTTGATTGCGCGGAGGTTAACTTGTGCTATATCATGTGACTTTCATTGACTCGGAAATCGCGTGTGGCTTTTTGTTTCGAAGCGGGTTTAAGGGATTTATTCTTCTGCTTAAAAACCCAAGTACAACCTGTTTTCTATGTGGCGGTGTATAAGGGATTTATTCTCCATCTCAGAAATTTATTCCCCTTGCAGGCAGCATACATCATACTTTATCAAGATCACGAGAACCAATCAGATGTCATCATTCTGACATGGAGGTATGATAAAGAGGTTTATACAACCTTTCAGATTATTCAGTTTAACTGATGAAGGGTGGCACTTCTGGGGTCTACATTCAACTGTCAGGTTCACGAAAGGTCATTGTGAGGTGCTAGAAGGTCAACAGTCACCATTACCATCTCATCCTACCGGGTACCCATTCACTGCTGGGTAAACTGAGGTATATTTTGAACAAAGTCACTTGCCTAAGGACCACATGTGCTTCAGTGTGGGGCAGGACCGAAGCCCTAGAAACTCATCAGACAAGTTGCCAAACACGGTCACCATCCATCTCTCCTCATGACCTGATTGGTAACCTGTGCACTGTACACAGGACCATATATATTTGTCACTGATCTTCAAGATCTCCTTCCGAAATCCACAGGCAGAGATTAGTTCATACAGTAGTGTTATTTCACTCCAGTGAAACACTGAGCTAAGTTTTCAGATAAATACACGGAGTGAGTTGGGTTTAACACCGCTTTTAACAGTATTCGTGTCAGCTTAATGTGGGAGGAAAGCCCGCAGTGATGCAGGTCTCAGACGTTTACCACTTCGGTGAAACCCACGAGCCCGGGTATGGTGCTGACAATTCTAGAAACATAATCAGGGCAAACCAGGATTCGAACCCACAATCATAGGTTTCTGGCGTGTCCAAGGGCCGCAACTCTGCACAGCGAACTGCGGCGCCTAAGACAACTGGGCCACCCGTGCCCCCCCAGATAGATACAGGATCTCATATGCGTAATAATAAATTTATTAATTTAAGGACATACACCCACTTGTATGTTTATACTGAGTGACTTGGGTTCAACCCTGCTTTGAACAGTATTTAACTGTTCTATAATTGCATGTCAGCTACCATCTTCCTGAGGCAAGGGAGTTAACTGACTATAAAAGTCCAGTTTCCACCCTTGCCGAACTAGGCTGGAATTACTGGACTCGATCGTAGCGCCACCAGTGGCTATTACCAGTTATGTCCCTTCTAAGCCTCTCCTATGGACCAATCAGATTCCACCTCTCGTACCATTTGCGTTTGCTTCACACAAAATGGTGGCGCCCAGTCAGGACGATCTGATCGATAATCAAGATCTATATTGTGATAAAACGGGCCTTACATTGCGAAATGCATCAAACCACGTGAGCACATTGATTAAAAACATGAAAAGATTTGGAAAATATCTGCTGACAGTGAGTTGGCGGTGCACGTTTTGCAAATCCTGCAATCGATCAAAATCTGCATGACAGTTTACAAACCGGATTTCAATTTCGGTGCGCGATTTTGATTGGACTATGCATAAACTCGTTAGTCCAGCCAAAATGTAACTCCATAATACCAGCCTAGTTCGGCAAGGGTGGAAACTGGACTTTTATAGTCAGTTAACTCTCTTGCCTCGGGAAGATGGTCAGCTACATGTTGTTTGCAGATATTAGCTGGCATTAACCAGCAAGCACAGCTATGTCCTTTTGTTTGTTTCACTCACGAAGTCACTTCTGAGCCTGTCACACGTTTGGATGCAACCTTGTGAGGGAAACAGATAATGGGTGATAACCATGAATGAAGATCAAGTAGTTTTGGTGAAGGGTCTTTCAGTTTTTTAAATATTGCTTAACCTGAAATGGAAACTGAGACATGAAAACAGACTTGCAACCAGTGATTTAGGTACATGAGTGAGTGAGTGAGTGATTGAGTTTGGTTTTACGCCGCTTTTAGCAATATTCCAGCAATATCACGGCGGGGGACACCAGAAATTAACACATTGTACCCATATCGAGATTCGAACCCGGGTCTTCATTGGGACGAGCGAACGCTTTTAGCCACTGAACTACCCGACCGCCTCTTAGGTACATGAAAAAATAGAACAACACAAGCACAAGTCACAAACATGTAACAGGCAGTTTCCCTTAATTACATCAACATGACATCCTGGCATAAATGATGTCCTCAGTTGAATATATGATGTTCCCTTGGGCATGACATCACCTTGGACATGACATCACCTTAGGCATGACATCACCTTGGGCATGATATCACCTTGAGCATGACATCATCACCTTGGACATGACATCACATTTGACATGACATCACCTTTGACATGACATCACCTTGGGCATGACATCACCTTGGGCATGACATCACCTTGGGCATGACCTCATCTTGACATGACCTCACCTTGACATGGCATCACCTTGGGCATGACATCACCTTGGTCATGACATCACCTTGGGCATGATATCACCTTGGGCATGACCTCACCTTGGACATGATATCACCCTGGGCATGGCAACATATGACGGTGTGTGTGTACATTTCTGCTACAACTGAGACAATCTGCTACAGACAATCAATAGATACTGTATCAATGTACTCAGCACTGGCAGATTACAGGATTAGGTCCAACCTTATGGCTTTACACACCTATAGTATACACAACTGCCTCTACACACATACACAGCTTTATCCTTCACTTATTGAGTATATGATATAATACTGTCTCCAAATATGTTGGACCAGTACAACTTGAAGGATATTATCATTAACATGAAGAGAAGACCACCTGATACATATTTCTGTGATTCAAGATGGCAGCTCAAGATTTTCCTGGGCATCACAGTAATAACAGTCAGCCTAACGAGACAGGAACACCCACAGTGAGGCAGGTCATAGACATTTACTACTTTGGTGAAACCCACGAGTACGGGTATGATCATGCTCACAAACCAAGTATGATAATCAGGCTGAAACTTAGCAATGAGTGAGTGAGTGAGTATGGTTTTACGCCGCTTTAGCAATATTCCAGCAATATCACGGCAGGGGACACCAGAAATGGGCTTCACACATTGTACCCATGTCGGGAATCGAACCCTGGTCTTCGGGCGTGACGAGCGAACGCTTTAACCACTAGGCTACCCGACCGCCCCCGAAACTTAGCAATAAACATGTGACCTGCAGATCCTGGCATGACTTAGGGATGCAACTCTGTCAGTGCCCTAGAACTAAAAGGCCACCAATATCCAAGGGTCAGTAATATACAACAATTTATCAGTAAATAGAAACAGTTTTATTTTGTCCTAATGGTTTACTTCAGTTAGCATGGTTAGCTATTCACAAGCTGATAAAAGCAAAATTAATTGGCACATAAAGAAATATTTGGCAAATATTTATCATTTCATTTACAGATGGATATTTATGACAACATACAAACATGAGAAAAGAACAAAAACATCAACGATATTTCATTCTCCTATTACTGTTGTCTTATTTTCTTTATGCCAGACCAGAGTTATCTCCCTTTACCAAATATTCTTGATGAAAGTGCAAATACCCAAGAGGCAAAAAATGGTTGACTAATAACTTCTTTTGCTATCATAAAAATATAGGCTATTCTTTCAAAATGCTTGTACCAGGGATCAGATTTCTTCATTGTCCTACAAGGGAATTGAAGTCAAAACACAACTAACATTTTAGGGAAATACAATCAACCTGCTTGCAAACAAAAGCTACATCATAATCCCTTCCTAAAGCCATAAAAACTCAAGACCACTAACGAGCAAACAGTATGAGCATCTGATATGGTTGTTAAACATGTTAGATAGTACTTCACTGTATATCATGGTTAGCTTATGTGGGAGGAAAGCCAGGATGATTACATTATTTTTTTTATATTCCAGAGATTTATAATCTTCTTGAAACCAGTGAGCATGAGTATGGTGCTGACTTGGAATGTCATCGTATATAGTGATATTGATTAATTTATAAACATCAATAAATTATCTGTAAAACTTCTTGAACATCGATACTAACTTAATAATTCATCACCAAGGGTTTACATTTGTTAAGATTACCATGGTTACGATGGACAATGAGAAGGCAGAAAATTCTATTTTAAACAATTTATGAAACAACCCAGTTCCTATTTAGCGTGTAACTGTCCAATTGCAGGTCTAGGTAGGAATCATTTTATCTATATACTTACAGAATAACTAATTTTGTTATTAATTGATATAGCAACGTATTGTGATACTTTGGGTTCGTTTTATCAACACTAAACTTTCCAATCAATGACAACCCAAGTGCTGACCAACCCGGGATCATGAACTGTGCTGAGAGGGATCAAGCTCATCATTCGCCACCAGTGTGGGCTCAGCCATTACAAGAATCTTGAAAATTGCCCTCTAACCCCAAATGTAGTAACGTTTATACTTTTGTTTATGTCTTTGGGAATGCAATCGTAGTGAATTTTGAAAATGTTTAAGACTGACCATATTTCCCAGATGAATTTAGCCTTTTGTTTTTGATCAGGTTGGTTAAGATTGCAGACGAACGGAAAATCAACCAACTTCCCCCTTACATTCTTACTATGCCAATTACATGATACATAATGGGAGTTGTAATGAAACCAAAATTCAAATTGACCAACAAAGAAACTAATTTAGCAGGAGTAAGGGTCTTCAGCACCACGGCAGTCATCATTGTTTGTAAACATAACGGCCGATGGCCTGAGAGTTCAACTCTAAGCATGGTTGTGGTCACCTATCACAGCAGGGAGTTTTGACTGGTGGTAGAGCTCCCCTAACAGGATAGCACTGTGAGGAGCTTGGGGAGAGATAATCCAAGGGACACAACTCTGTACTGAATACAGCACACAAGGGTGGAACACAGAAACATAACAGGCTCCGTTGGAATGAAGTTACATGTATATATATAAACAAGAACACATTGTCATGGCGTTTAGAAGAGTAATATTTGAATGACATCATCAGGGTAACACAGTGGACTAGAAATAAAGATTTAACAGCTTGATAATGTAGAAACATGGTACATATTGACATGCTATTTCAAACGTGATCTTAGGATTTCACTGTAAGTTTTGACATGACAGTTCAATTTGTATATTCCCTACGTCTGTTGTCTACTTTGGTTTGGGCTGTGTGAAACTACACATTAACTACCCGCTGAACTCAAAAGCATGTCTCATTGGTCAATAGCAACTTGGTTGACAATGAAATCTATTTGGTTGGTAGAAACCCAATGTAAGAGTTACTTAATCACATTGCTATCAAGAATGGACAATCTAAGTATTGTACATTGAGCTTGAACAATAAAATAAATGCAACAACAACAAAATGGTAGGTCCATATAATAATGTGGTTTCAATGCCATGACTCGCAAGGAAATCTCAGTTGGAAGAGGCTTTGTTCAAGGTCATGTTAGCTTTGTGTTTTTAACACTGTACTCAGCAATATTACAACTAAGTGACAACGACCTGTAAACAATCGAATGTGAACCAGACAATTCAGTGATCGATGTTGAGAGTGAGTGAGTGAGTGAGTATGGTTTTACGCCGCTTTTAGCAATATTACAGCAATATCACAGCGGGGGACACCAGAAAAGGGCTTCACACATTGTACCCATGTCAGGAATCGAACCCGGGTCTTCAGCGTCACGAGCCAATGCTTAAACCACTAGGCTATCCGACCGTCCCTCAATGTTGAGAGCTATGATCCATGCAGTCGAGGTACGAAGACACCCTATCAACCAAGTCACTGTGTCTAATCACCCAATCCATTCCATTTACAACCAGCACAGGTTGCTTGGAACCTATTCAAACCCAGAATCCCACAGGGTAAACCAAATCTGCAGTTTTTTTGCCCAAGATGAATGGCATCATTTTTTTATATACCATTTCCAAATTTAAAAAATATCTTGAAGACATTTTTGATGACAATCAGTTAACGTCCTAGAAAAGAAAACCTTGTATCTGTCTTCCAGGGGAAAATAGATACTGAATAGCAACGGCTATACACCAGAATTCCAACATACATATTGGAATAACTTTGGTAAAAATATACTGGTGGATAGTAAACCATCTTCCGGAGACAAAAGAGTTAACTGACTTTAAAAGTCCAGTTTCCACCCTTGCCGAACTAGGCTGGTATTATGGAGTTACATTTTTGCTGGACTAACGAGTCTATGCATAGTCCAATCAAAATCGCACAATAAAATCGAAATCCGGATCATAAACTTTCATGCAGATTTTGGTCGATTGCAGGACTTGCAAAGCATTGCACCGCCAACTGGTTGTCAACAGCTATTTTCCAAATCTTTTCATGTTTTTAATCGGTGTGCTCACATGATTTGATGCACTGCACGATTTAAGACCTGTTACATTACAAAATAGATCTTAGATTATTGATCAGATCGTCTTGACTGGGCGTCGCCATTTTGTTTGAAGCAAATGCAAGTGATGCGAGAGGTGGAATGTGATTGGTCCATAGGAGAGGCTTAGAAGGGACGTAACTCGTAATAGCCACTGGTGGCACTACGATAGAGCCCAGAAATTCTAGCCTAGTTCGGCAAGGGTGGAAACTGGATTTTTATAGTCAGTTAACTCCCTTGCCTCGGGAAGATGATAGTAGACATGCCTATACATTACATTCCTCTCCATGCCAAAGGATACAAGTTAAAGTCATTCTGAGATATAAGTGTTTGCTAAATCCTTTTATAGCTTTTACTTCCGAAAAGAAAAGCAGGTTTAACATTATTATGACTTTCAAGTAAGTTGTTAAATATGGATAGAAAGTGCTAGATTTCAAACTTTTCATCTAAAAAAGGTCATAAACATGCCCAGTGAACTAAAACCACATTATATGGTGAACACCTTATAATGAATAACAACAGATTTTGCATAAGATGATGACTGAAAATTAGGGAATGTATTTCATTTTTATCTTCAACATGTTTAACAAAAGTTGACTTCATGGTCTGGTTGTCATTCTTGTTAATTCGGACTCATTTAACAACAGTCTATGATACATATTCCTAGTTCCCAGCTGTTGTTAAACATGCTGTACTCGGTCCACTGCGATGTAGAACGCCTTCTTGTTGGTCAAGTCATGCCAGCCTATCGGTCCAATCTCACAGTCCGCACATATAAGATACTTCATGGAGCCCACAGTGTTCGAGAAACCAACATTGTCGAACGTAAACATGTCCTCTACCAACCAGTAATCTGTCAAGGTTTCTCCATCATGAGGCTGGCTTTCCTTGTTCTTTTTATACATGTATGGCAGGAAAAACTGAAAATTAAACAAGACACCAGCAGGTTAATCACAGCCACGCAATTGGGATCGATGACAAGCATCAACCAAGTCAGCGAGCCTGACCACCCAATCCTGTTAGTCGCCTCTTACGACAAGTATGGCTGCCTTTTATGGCAAGCATGGGTTGCTGAAGATCTTTTCTACCCCGGATCTTCACGGGTCCAAAAGCTATGAATACACAATGCCATTTAGAAAGTCGTCAAATATAACAATATAACAAATATGAACCCATATTCTGAGAGTGAGGCACTAAATTGCCAGCACACAAAGTCAGCAATCTCCTTCAATTCATGGTGAGGTGAGGTTAAATGGGGTTTACTGTCGCATCCAACATTATTGCACTTAAGTTATAGAGCCACGTGCATGCACGTGTACGTGTGTGTGTGTGTGTGTGTGTGTGGCTGCTTGTACTAGTGCGGACTCCTGCTGTTTTTATAGTGCTAGCCCACTGAGGTACCATGCCGCAGTTTAACATGAATACCCCACACAGACACGGTATACTGACTCCAAGCCGACCAGTCCTTGTTTTAGCCCCTTAATGCCAAGCGCCAGACAGGGTAACAACAAGTACCATCTTTTAACGTCTTTTGGTATGACGCAGCAGGGAATTCATTGTCATTATTATGCACGAAAATGCAGTTTATCAGGTAAATCAGTGATCGAATTTGGCACTAGTCCTTTTGTCTTTGAAAAACAACCCAACAGTTAGGTATCATAAGGGCTAGTACAAATTTGCCATTTTTAAAGGTTTTGCTTTATGCTATCATAAGGACTAGGGGACAAAATATGTTAGTTTCTATCACTGTATCAAATAATATTATATTGACGCTGCACACATCTAAATGCTGCGGATCTACTGTTTGACATCTTTTGCAAACAATCAATTAGGTTTACGAATACCATGTCATTCATGCATACCTGTGAATTTGACCTCTCGACGCCTAACACCGTTTTCAGTTCGTGTGTTTCGGCTCATTCCTCACCATTTGGTATCTTGCAGATTAAGGAATGGGACGAGTGTGCAAAATGGCATTGAGATCACTCTTAAGTGTCTGTAGACTAAAGTCATGAGACACCATGCCTCCCCATAACCTTCGTAAGCTTCCATCACCTATCTGACCCTTTCTGTTTCATAAAATCTTGGGCATGCCTTGGTAAACTTGCACTAACTTTAACATGTTTAACAGTGTGGACGTAGCTCAGTTCGTAACCTGTCGGACCAACAATCTGAAGCAAGTTCACGTCCAACAGATTCTCACAAAAAGTGGTTGCTTGTCTGAGTGACATGTGACCTACGGCAGAGATCGTCCTCACAAGAAGTTGTGGTGCTGTTTTCTAAAGGTGCTCCAGCTATCTCATACCCTACATCACAAGTAACCCTTGAGTGGTGCCTAACCCTAAGGATCATAAAGAGGTGTTTGTTTGGCAAGTGGTGCCCAACCCTAATGATCGTAAAGGGGTGCTTGCTCAGAAAAGGGAACCAAGGGCTGAGGATAGAGTTGGGGATGATCTACGCTAATATTAACACAACTAACCCTATGGATCGAAGAGGCATGCAAGATCTGTTAAGCAAGTCTGAGCCAGTTAATGCTATAGTAAGCTGCACCTGGTAAACTGCATTTTTACCAACAATTTCCACGACATTCAGTCAAATTTGATGTAATTGTAAGTATGTGGATATAGTTTTGTCATTACAATATTTGACCTAAAAATTCATTCAGTGGTTGTTCTGAGCTGAAAAATGATAACAAACTCATGTGGATTTCAGATTCTGAAGAAGAATGCTTGCGTAAGTCCTCCCATAGTGACTTTAGTGACAAGAGTCATCACATGTTTTGAAAGTGGCATACAAGAACATATTAAAGATGAGAAAACTGCATACCTCTTTTTCAGTCAATGTTGCTTGATTAGGTGAGAGAACTAAGCTTGGACACCTTTTACAGCAAATCTTTGTCTTGTTCTTCCCATTTTCAATCAAATCACCCTTGTTGCTAGGGACAGAGGAAGACCCTTCTGCCATTATGAATCCTCTGATCACGACTAAAGTATGAATTTATTATCGCAAATGCATTCCGCTTCTTTTCATTGACGCAAACGGAAGTCGGAAGTGAAATTCACTTTGTAGTATTACACGCGATCTTAGTGTTCGGGTATCGCAAAAGTTGAGCAAAATATTAAAACGAATTCAGTAATAAAATCGACATGTTTAATGAATTTGTGTGAATATGTTCTGTGTGTGATCAACGCATACTGTATATGTCTGTCAGAGGGATACAGGCTATATTTGCATTCGTTATTCCTTCCCGAAAAGGTACGTTCTTTAATTATCGGCGTTGTCCGATGCATGTTTCAATTTTTGAAACTGGAACAGCGCGAAATGTACTTCCTGTTGTAAACACGACAGCGTTTTGCAGATCGTTTGGAAGGGCTATTCACCGGTATTACTTTTCTACTTTAGCCAATGACCTAGAAAAAACGAAGAGAATCATATGTGATGGTCCGCGAAATCTTTAAAACTTTCACTCATTATCTATTTCGATGACGGGTAGCAATAAGAATGATAAGGATTAGCCTATAGGGCCTATCGTCTGATGGTGTCTGTGATTGTGAATCACTGCCTGCCTGTCTGCCCGTTAAGGAAGGCGGGTATTAGCTGTGGATAGCATACCGTACGTCTGAAATGCTCCTTCATTACCATGTTTACTAACTAGGTTGCTACGGTCTGACCAGCACTGTGTTCCTGTCAGATGATCACGTTGGTTTGCCATTTCGACCTGGATCTGGCAAACATGCATCACAGCGGTATCAAATTGCCCGGACAAGTCGGCACCAAATTCACGAAAACGACAAAAGATATTTGATAACAATAATTTGCTCATTATCATGAGTCAATCAGATCTTTTACTTTTTATGACATGATCCCACTCTGCCTTAAAACTGACGTCGCCACCACAGAGGGTAGAGTCAGGCAAACTTGACCACCTAATCTAAATGAACGATACATGAATTTTTGAGCCAATCAGATGTCAGCTTTCTACATGTTCTGACACAATTTGGCAGCGTTAGAAATTGGCACTAGTCCTATAGTCCTTACCAAACTGCCCAATAGTAAAGGTATCCTAATGGAAAAAAATCTATTAGTTTCTAACCCCTGTTTGGTTTTACTTGTTTACCACCTTGATCATGATTCAGATTGATTCAGAGAGAACGCCCACACAGATCACCATAGGTAGCGTCAGGCAAACTTGACCGCCAAATCTAAACGAAGGATACATGAATTCTTGAGCCAATTCTTCAGCAATTCTTTACCTACTTGATCATGTTGATTCAGAAAGAACACAAATCTGTCTTCAATAGTTCTTCCTTTTGGATGTCATGGTGCTCAAATTCACAGAGATATCACACTAGGATAATAGTGTCTTATTTTAATGGGATTGATTGTATTTATGTCACACATGGGCCTACACACTAGATTATTATATTATTTTTTCGCAAGTAGGACAGACCACTCGCATGACAATTTGTTATGGATATTTCATTTTACCCTGAACATGCTCCATTACAACATAGGAAGTCTAAAAAATCATCACTTGTTTAGCGTTATAAATTGGCACTAGTCCTGTAGTCCTTGCCAAACTGCCCAATAGTTGAGGTATCATAAGGACTAATAGAAATTTGCCATTTTTAAGGGTTTTGCTATGTTATCATTATAAGGACTAGTGGACTAAAATTGTTAGTTTTTACCACAGTTGCTACTACATAAATATATTAACTGATAGATACTACCAGTCTGTGCCAAAAGCTTTTGAGTCCACAAGCCAAAACCTGTCTCTTTGCATTATTTTATGGTAAATTTTAGTGTTATCATATGGACTAATGTTAGCTGATGTTACTAGACTGAACAGAATTTTACTAGACTCGGGCTTCGGACTAGTGGCTGAAGTTGCAGACTACTATCCATGATGAGTGGTGGCTTGCCAATTATGTCATCACTGTATGCGCACTTCTCCATCCTCTTGTATGTCGGGTAGAACTAAATTGTCACATGCACAATGTACTGTAACATTATTTTGTTTGTTTGGTGGAAATTATGCAAAATTCATAAATGAATTATTTATTCTTCTAGCTCAGCAAATGATACTTGTCAGTATGTTCATTATCATTCTTCTGCTAGCTGGTATTCATTTGTGTTGTCAACATGCAATAACCATCTGTTTAATTATTACAATAACAGAAGTATAATACCCCCTTCACATGCGCTTCTATACATATGTATGTATATGTGCATACGTGTACAGAAATACATACGTGAGTATACTTGTCATTTGAACGCATTTACTCATGTATGTATATTTACACCAGGAGCAAATTTGCATCATGTCTGGAGCAGGTGTAAATGTAAATTTGTGCTGTGTGCATATGTTGCAATGTGAATGTTGGATGACCTAATTAATATCTGTTCTTTTGCCAACACCAAACAAATTGTCAACAGTTGCCAACTTTTATGAGTATATATCATGACATATGGACAGTGTTTTCTTTTGGTTTCAAGGAGTCGAAACTTTGTGAACAAATTAATTCACACACGTTTTCAAACATGAAAATTTTCCGTGAAGTTACTCTCTTCTCATTCAACTTTGATTGGAAAACAACCTGTTTTGTGTTGAAAGTCGTGAACAGACTGACGAATATGTGTGCCTTACACAATTTACATACTTTATTTACACACCTAAGTTGATTTTTATGTGAACACATAGTAAATTTACATATACACACATATGTATAGTTACACAAAATTACTTACGTTAGTAAATGTTGTGCATGTGAACGGGGTATAAGACAAACACTGAAACTGACTTCAGTAAACATGGGAAACATGGTACATTGATGTACTAAATAATGTACATATCCCTTATGCTAATACAGCTCTGTATTTTCATTTTGTCAACAATTACCATGGTTACTTGTAGTACATCGTGACATAGTACAAGAACTCCAGGCAGTTTACAGGTGATTCCAACACTAAAGTGTAAATTGATGTCACATAAACATGATAAAGTTCCATTGTTTACACAATTACCATGGATACTTGTAGTACCGGTACATAGTACAAGAACTCCAGGCAGTTTACAGGTGATTCCAACACTAAAGTATAAATTGATGTCACATAAACATGATAAAGTTCCATTGTTTAAAAAAAGGAACTTTTCCTTGTTGAAAAGTTTGTGAGAGTTGATGAACAGTTTATTAATCATGTTAATAATATTATGAGAGTGACTTGTTTTACTGTTATGATGAAGTTCTTGTATCATTTTAGGAAAGACCTCCACAATGAGCTTTGGCGGACAGAGTACATCGTCTGGATTTGCGCTGAAGAAGTTTCTCACAGAGGATGAAGTGGAGGAGAAAAAGCGTATTCGGCAAGAGCACTGGGACAAAGTTCGCAAAGCTGATGATCCATTAGGTAAACATAATGTACATGAACTGAAAAGTCGAAATGATAGGTTCTCAACCATGAGATAGCTTGGCGGAACTTTCTCTCACCACCTTGAAAACTAATTCTCTATTCCCAATGTGGTTGCACTGTATGAAGCCCATTCTTGGTGTCCCCTGCCCTAATATTGCTCAAATGGTACTCATTAATGTTCTCACTCAAGCAATGATCATGATGTTAGCCTTACGACTTTGGGGCAGAAAATGTCCCCAGTACCCTATGGTCGAACCAAAGTAGTCCGCAGCTGGTTTCAGATGAGTTGTTGTGTAAAATAACTAGATTTTGGGATGAGACAACTTGTCCCTCTATAGTTTCACTACTCTTGGACTACAGGGGTTCTGTTAACTGCTGGCCCATGGCCAGTTAAATTTACAAAGGGCTTGCTGATACATAGCCATCTGGCTAGTCAGAGTTTCCCCCCTTCTCCTTGTATGTTTAATGTTTTTAAATTGGATCATCTGGGTAGAATGACATCAGGCCGCCATTTTGTAATGTTGTGTACAACAACTTCTTTATTGAAGGGGGCACGGGTAGTCCAGTCATCTAAGGCGCCGCGATTGGCTGTGCAGAGTTGTGTCCCGTGGGCACGCCAGAAACCCCGATTATGTTTCTAGGTTTGTCAGCACCATACCCGTGCTCATAGGTTTCACTGAAGTGGTAAACGTCTGAGACCTGCATCACTTCAGGCTTTCCTCCCACATTAAGCTGACACGCCGCGCTATAACTGGAATACTGTTAAAAGCGGCGTTAAACCAAACTCACTCACTCACTCACTCACTCTTTATTGAAAGAAGAGAATTTATGGATGTCAACTTCTTTATTATGAGGAACACATCCATCAACAAGTGCAACAAGACCATCAGCAAAAGTGTTAAGTCCAACAACCACCTGGTTTTCCTCATAATAAAGAAGTTGACATCCATAAATTCTCTTCCTTACGTGTATCACTTCTAAATGCCTTTCAAAGACCTAACTTCTTTATTTACTCATAAATTGCCTTGAAGTGAGGTAAACTGAAGCCAAGATTTAGTCTCAGAGTGCTCCACCATTTAGTTATAGGCCATTTAGTTTAGAGAAGGGCCAGTAACTTTTAAGAGGAGCAAGCCCTGCTGGCTACATACAAATCTACCCCTGGACTAAGCAATCTCATTAAAATCAGATCTTAGTTCTCGCTACCGCTAAACAAAGATCTGAGGACATCCCATTACGGGTCACGTCAGACCGACCTTGCGCAAACTTTGACCGACCAATGGAATGACCAATCAGAAGGCAGCTTTCTTGTGCTTTACAGCACTAATTTCAAATTGGCGACTACTCTTCGAAACATATTTTGACAAATTCTCGATTACAAATTTGAAACCTGAACAAAAGAACATTCTGAAATGGCTAAGAGATGGTCCAGATTGTATGGATTCAGTCAGTAAACCCATAACTATCGTTCGGAGTTAAAGTTTTCGAGGCTGCATGATTAGAAATCACATTCCGACTGTCACTTTCATAATCTGGTAAGCGACGCTCTGATTGATCAGATGAAAGGTCGTTCTGACGTGACCCCAAATGGGATGTCCTCAGATCTTTGTTTAGCGGTAGCGAGAACTGAGGTCTGATTTTAATGCGATTGCTGGACTAAGAGACTAGCGGCTGTGTCTACCCCTGATGGTGCAGCACACGTGTTGCAGAGAATGTTAACTCAAGTTGTTATATTTGAGACTGTGAAGATCCGCGGAATGATAGGTCTTCAGCAACCCATGCTTGCCGTAAAAAGTGACTATGCTTGTCGTAAGAGGCAACTAACATGATTGGGTGGTCGCTTGCTGACTTGGTTGATGCATGCCATCGTAACCCAATTGCGTTGATCGATGCTCACGATGTCAATCACTGTATTGTCAGGTCCAGACTCGATTATTTACAGACCGCTGCATATACCTGTAATATTGCGGCATTAAACAACAAACAAACATCGTTATGTTTGAAAATACTGTGATTATATTATTGTTCATTCTTATCTCAGCCTTCCTGTCAAATATGGCAAAAGTAACCATAGTATTAACTGTATCTACTGCAACGAGGAATAACATGGTATTACCATGGTTACCTGATTATCTATGCTGCAGTGTATACCTACCATACATGGTACAGAAAGAAATGTGCAGGACTGTGTCTTATGTTTCCAGAATGCCCAGAGGAAGACACACGGTCACTGTTCGAGAAGCTCCAGGAACAAAAAGACAAGAAACAGCAAGACTATGAAGAACAGTTTAAATTCAGTATGTCCCATTAATCAGACTATTACTAACAGTAAGTTGGTATTTGTACATGTTGTAAATAGTATTTGTAATATTAACTGAATATGCTGGAATATTGTTTGTTATGTTGGTGGTTAGCAGTAAAATATCTTTTGTTTATCAAATATGGCCCCTAATAAATATGATGAATTTAGTCTTCAAGGATTTGACTAGACAGCAGCATTCGATTACAATGAGTGGGAACAATGTCTTTATAACCTTAAATATTTGTTAAAAGAAGCAACCAAACAAAAGGCAACAACAAAATATTGATGTGAAACATTGTTCCTATTCCAGAAGTTTTTATGTATTGTGCACACACCAAGCATGCCAGGGATAAGGTTAAAATATACTGCTCAAAAGAAGTTGAAGAACGCCCTATTCTTTCATATTACTCATAGCATGACAGATTAACTTTATAGTAATATAAAAGAATCGGGTGTTCCTTAACTTCTTTTGAGTAGTATATGTGATTTCTAGATCATTTTTTAACATTAACAAGTTCCAGTCTATAATTAGACTCGATCACAGGGTTAGAAACTAGCAGTTTTTGTCCACTAGTCCTTATAATGATAACATATAGCAAAACCCTTAAAATGGGTCAATTTCTACTAGTCCTTAGGATACCTTTACTATTGGGCAGTTTGGTAAGGACTACAGGACTAGTACCAATTTCTAAAGCTGGATCATGATTTAGATCCTGTGGATTAAGACACCTCAAGGGCTAATAATGTGGTAGTTTTCCAAGATAAAATCACTTGAATACCAGTGGTCACCAGTGGCCAAGTGGCACTTGAGAACACACTTCACTCTGCAGCGTTGGGTTCCCTTAGGCATGCCTGGATCTGCTGATCATAGGTGCTACTGCCAGGTCCATTCTGATTATGATCCTTGGCCAACACAATACCTTTGTACTCCTTGTACAGTGAATTTACAGAGTATTGTAGAGGCAATTATTGGGGCTTGGCGTCAAATCATATGTAAGAAATGCGCCCCTTGTGGTTTTTTTCTCCCTGCAGTGTTTTATTGTACGGTAAACAACGACCATGTCATTTGTTTCTTATATGAGATATCAATATTATCATGATTATGTACAGCCTCTTTAAGAATGTTAACAAAATGTACAAGCTTTAAAAATATTTACCCGTATTTAAATAATGATGACTCCCTGAGTAGAATCTGATCTTGGCAATGTAGGAAAAGTCCATTTTATGAACAGGGGGTTGAATTTGGTCTTTCCTGCATATTCTCAAAATTTTCATGTCGATTAATTATCTGTACCTTTTCACCCAATACCAATTGCCTTATTTCTCCCACTTTTGGATGCGATCATTCGGCCATTTCATTTATCTACATTGTCCAGCTACATCTATGGGAAACAACTCACTTGGGGCTTCCCTCTTAAAAAATAACATCCTACAATTTATGATGTCATCAAGTTTCGAGCACATGCTCGAATCTCCAGAAATGTTGTCATGATAGAACAATGTTTTATCGTGAAATACTTCTTTATTGTTCTCTGCGATTTATGGCGTAGCTATCTCAGATATGTATATGGGTATCCCAAAGTGATACAGGCTGTATAGGCCCAGTTGTCTTTGCCGCCACAATAAAGTTTCATCCCTTAAGCCTGCTGGATACCTGTGATTGTTGGTTCCAATCTCAGATATACCATGATCAATGTTTGTACTTGTGGGTTTCACCAGGGTGGTTAAGGTGTACCACCTGCATCAAGTTTGGCTTTCCTCCCAGATTTGCTGACATACCCTGATATAACTGAAATACTGTTCAAGTGGTGTTAAACCTAAGTCACTCGAATACCAGATACCAGTGTATAAATTTGCTGATCTTATCCAAACTGATAGAATATATATATGAGAAGTGTTCAAAATATAGGGGTCCTTTAGCATGTTTAGAATTGATTCTATGGTAATTGAATCTAGGGACCCCTACATCCTTAACCCTTAGACATTCCTGGTTAATTTCAAACACCAACGAGTTCTATGTCTTCATAGGTAATGCTGTCAAGGGATTGGAGGACGATGAAGCGGAGTACCTGGACGAAGTGTCTCGGCGCCAGATGCAGATAGAGAAAGACAGACTGACTGAAGAGACCTCGATAATCAGGGAGATGAGAATATCCTTGATCAAACTGAGCAGCTCACACAGGATTTACAATGTTTTAATGTGTAGAATGTAGAATACAAACAATAACAAAATGGAATCACAAATATAACAAAGTAGCAATACAAGATATTCTACTCAAAAACAGTTAAGGGCCACCCGATTCTTTCATATTACTATAGTTAATCTGTCATGGTAGATTAACGATAGTAATATGAAAGAGTTAGGTGATCCTTAACCTTTTCTTAGTAGTATATCTTGTATTGCTATTGTGGACAAGTGGTAGAACGTACACCCAGAGAGTGGAAAGTCTGGGGATCGATCCCTGGCCGCGTCATAGCAAAAGACGTTAAACGATGCTACTTGTTGTTACCCTGCCTGGCGTTCAGCATTAAGCATGTTAAGGGCCTAAAACAAGGACTGGTCGGCTCAAGTCAGTATACTGTGTCTGAGTGGGGTATTCATGTTAAACTGAAGCATGGCATCTCAGTGGGATAGCACTATGCAATCGGCATCAGTCTGGACTAGTACAAGCAGCCACACACGTGCATGCACATCACTACATGAGTGCAATAATCTTGGACGCAACATTAAACCCCATTTCACCTCACCTCACTGTTCATATGTATAGAATTTCTTTTCTTGCCAGAGCAGCTTTGTGTCACAGACAATGTGCATGCAGAGTTGTTTCCCTTTGACTAAACTCCTGTGCCTTCACACTGTATATGTCCTGATAACCAGTTATGTTCATGGCAAATCCATTGATGTGCTGAAAATGTCACACCACAACTATTCGACTAATACCAAAAATGTTACACAACAATTTGTATATCTCAATAATCAATGAATCATTAGCATGGTGAAGATAAAAATGTGTTCTCAAATAACTGTCACTCTGATTTGTACCATGACTTGAGAATACAGATGGAGGCAGTTTCATATTCGATCACTGACAGTAGTTTGAGAAAAGCCAAATTTTGGTTCCGAAGTTATATAAGCATGTGTGGCAAAACGTTTTGGAGAGGAAACCTACTGACTTGCAATGTTCACCGAGTGTATAATACGGGATGGAAATATCATGAGAATCTCTTGATTCCTGGAGTAGAATCAACGAGCCCTGAGTCTGACTTCAACCTTGTTATGGTTGATATAATTTATCTGTAATTTTGTCTAATGATCTATAATTACTTCAGTTGTTCTTCTTTAAATTTTGTTCAGTTTAAATACAATCAGTTTCACATATATATAGATGTTTTAAATCAGTGATGAGTCATCAAAAAAGTATTCAAATAACTATTGCTGTCAACGATATTTTAGTATTGGTGATTATATTATCTGTCTTGTTTTTAAATAATCTTTAGTTTAAAAAAATCTTTTCCCGTGAGTCTCGATCCAAATGTTACAACGCGTACACTTGAGCAGACTCATGAATATAACTCATGAATATTAATTAGACCGTTCACTACGTTAACAGATCGTTATTATGACAGAAACAATATATGTTTTCCATGTATATCTAAAATGATATTATTTTTTATTAATTGTCCGGTGAATTAAACAATTTAAATTGAAACAATTCATAATTCATCATATTATGAATACGTAACAACTTGTAATGTGTGTGGAAAGTCGTACTAAAATACGCTATTTGAAGGGGGCGTGGCCTAAATGCAAATGTCCGATTGGGATTTTAAATTTTCCGGACCCCTGGTGATGACATATGTTCAAAAAACAGTTTATGTATGTGTCCTTTTGTTATCGAAGAGTACTTTTTGTATTGGCTGGGAGAAAGGTCCCCAGTACACCATGTTTCTTGTTAGAGCCCAGTAATGTGTGACCTGCGGGTGTGTCATCTTGCCCTTGTTGCATTGGTTGTTACTCACGCCTTCCATCACTGGTTTGCTGGGATATTGCTGACTGCAGTATAAAACAACATTCACACACACTGTTATTGTTAACCTCAGAATTGTTGTGATTTCTTGACCAACTGTAAGATGCAAATGTGGCAATACTCCCCGAGAAGGCTTCAACAAAAGATGGAGAGAAGTCAACAGCAGCAGCAGCAGGGAAGAGTGCACCGACCGCCTCCAGCAGGAAGTCACAACAGTCCTTACTGCTGGGAGCAGTGAAGAGAAAAAGGTACGCTCCCACCTCTATAACTCTTGATAATACTTATCCTCCCACCATTATCAATCACCTAGACACTATCATTCCACTGTCAGGCCTATAGGTGGACCATCAGACTATGGCTCCCCTGTCCTATGGAGCTCCGATAAGGCCTGTGTGTGCATCATCTGACTCTATGGTTTCACTGCCCTTTGGAGCTCCGATAAGGTCTGTGTATGGACCATCAGACTATGGTTTCACTGTCCTATGGAGCTCTGATAAGGCCTGTGTGTTGACCATCTGAGTCTGTGGTTTCACTGTCCTATGGAGCTCTGATAAGGCCTGTGTGTTGACCATCTGAGTCTGTGGTTTCACTGTCCTATGGAGCTCTGATAAGGCCTGTGAATGGACCATCAGACTATGGTTTCACTGTCCTATGGAACTCCGATAAGGCCTGTGTCTGGACCATCTGAGTCTGTGGTTTCACTGTCCTATGGAGCTCTGATAAGGCCTGTGAATGGACCATCAGACTATGGTTTCACTATCCTATGGATCTCCGATAAGGCCTGTGTCTGGACCATCTGAGTCTGTGGTTTCACTGTCCTATGGAGCTCTGATAAGGCCTGTGAATGGACCATCAGACTATGGTTTCACTATCCTATGGATCTCCGATAAGGCCTGTGTCTGGACCATCTGAGTCTGTGGTTTCACTGTCCTATGGAGCTCTGATAAGGCCTGTGAATGGACCATCAGACTATGGTTTCACTATCCTATGGAGCTCTGATAAGGCCTGTGTGTGGTTCGTCTGACTCTATGATTTCACTGTCCTATGGAGCTCTGATAAGGCCTGTGTGTGGACCATCTGACTCTATGGTTTCACTGTCCTATGGAGCTCTGATAAGGCCTGTGTGTGGACCGTCTGACTCTATGGTTTCACTGTCCTATGGAGCTCCGATAAGGTCTGTGTATGGACCATCAGACTATGGTTTCACTGTCCTATGGAGCTCTGATAAGGCCTGTGTGTGGACCATCTGACTCTATGGTTTCACTGTCCAATGGAGCTCTGATAAAGCCTGTGTGTGGACCATCTGACTCTATGGTTTCACTGTCCAATGGAGCTCTGATAAAGCCTGTGTGTGGACCGTCTGACTCTATGGTTTCACTGTCCTATGGAGCTCTGATAAGGCCTGTGTGTGGACCGTCTGACTCTATGGTTTCACTGTCCTATGGAGCTCTGATAAGGCCTGTGTGTGGACCGTGTGACTCTATGGTTTCACTGTCCCATGGAGCTCTGATAAGGCCTGTGTGTGGACCATCTGACTCTATGGTTTCACTGTCCAATGGAGCTCTGATAAAGCCTGTGTGTGGACCATCTGACTCTATGGTTTCACTGTCCAATGGAGCTCTGATAAAGCCTGTGTGTGGACCGTCTGACTCTATGGTTTGCACTGTCCTATGGAGCTCTGATAAGGCCTGTGTGTGGACCGTCTGACTCTATGGTTTGCACTGTCCTATGGAGCTCTGATAAGGCCTGTGTGTGGACCATCTGACTCTATGGTTTCACTGTCCAATGGAGCTCTGATAAAGCCTGTGTGTGGACCATCTGACTCTATGGTTTCACTGTCCAATGGAGCTCTGATAAAGCCTGTGTGTGGACCGTCTGACTCTATGGTTTGCACTGTCCTATGGAGCTCTGATAAGGCCTGTATGTGGTCGCTGACTCTATGGTTACACTGTCCTATGGAGCTCTGATAAGGCCTGTGTGTGGACCGTCTGACTCTATGGTTACACTGTCCTATGGAGCTCCGATACATTTTGTCAATGTCTGAGAGAGAAAAATTCATAATATTTGCAGAAAGTATTTAAATGTCCAAGTGAATGTGCTGAAGTTGCACCCTCAGTAATCATCTTCCAAAAGAAACCTATTTGGGGTGTGATCTAAAGGTACCGGCGCAGCAGTGCAACAGATGTCTTTAATGGCTAATATGCAGACATGTAAACCATGCTTATCTGTCTTGTGGGGGCAGTCAGGTAGCTTTGTGGTTAAAGCGTTCGCTAGTCACGTCAAAGACCCAGGTTCGATTCCCGACATGGGTACAATGTGTGAAGCCCATTTCTGGTGTCCCCAGTCGTGATATTGCTTGAATATTGCTAAAAGCGGCATAAAACCATACTCACTTACTCACTATATGTCTTGTGATTCTTAGCTAGACCTATACTGTTTCTGCTATTTCTGTTAATCCTACAAAAGTAACAACGTTGCATTCATTGTTGATTAGTGAAACGTCCCCTTTGATCTTGAAATTATGAATAATTAAAATAATAATTAACAAAGTAGCTTTTTTTGATTGGGTAAAATAAAACAACTGCTTCCCTTGATCCTATTCCACACATTGAACGAAAAATCCCTGTAATGCGATTAAAATATCCAAGGCGGAAGCAGGACCCTGGCATGATTGTTGAAATTGTGAAGTGTGTCAAACACCTGTAACCCGTTTAGCCCTGGGAGGGGAATTCCTAATTGAATGATATTTTCATTTGGGGTATGAGTTCACCAATCATTTTTTATCGTATGATTTACCCTATTGCCATTTTTACAGACTTAATTTTGGTCAAGTATTTGAGATTAAGTATCCCCTAAAGTTTTAAGATCTGCAAAGTTTATTTGTTGAGTTTACTAGTCCTTTAAGTCTTAAAGCAAGCACAGATACAACTTGTTTTTGAAAAGGAGGGTTTGCTTCGTTATCACGAGTTAACAAGTCCTGAATTAATCCAGATAATATGCACGATATGTGGATATTTTGGTGTTTTGTAGTTGAGTCATTTTTGTTGAATTCATTTTACCAAATGACTTAGTTGTGATGTTGTACATTTATTGTCATTTAACCTAAATACAGTAGAACACGGATATAACAAACATGGATATAGCGAACAAACGGATCCGACGAACTGTCCCCGATTTATCTCCTATATAACATCATATAAAATGTACGTATATAACGAACTCTCTACAGCAAACTAACGGATACAGCGAACTGATATCTGATCACCGAAAAGCCTATCTATCACTTATTAGTGACGTGTATAGCGAACTGAGAAATCTCACTCTGTGTCAAGTGTCACTGACAATTGGCTGTACGCAATCAGCGGCGAATTCTGTTTAGTGGTCCGTTACTGCAGACCAAAGCTGACGAACTTGCAGTGAAATAAGGCCATGAAGATTTCATGTGTAACACTGCAATTACGTGTACTGTGTTTTGTCTTATCCAAGATGGGGGGACGTTTCCGAGCGAAAACGTGTATAACGAACAACAGATATAACAAACTGATTTCTCTGGTCCCTTGTAGTTTGTTATATCCGTGTTCTATTGTATACCCATTCACCTTTGGAACTTCCATATGTATAAATGTTTAGCATGCTCTGAAAAGTTGGGGAGGGGTGCTGTTGGTTGAGTATGCATATCATCTTTTCAACCAAATCAGTTGAAATTAAGAATGCTCAGTATTTTTACTTCTAGTGTAAGACTTACTTAGACCACTTTGTACACAGGAAGCTGAGAGTGGGTCTACATCTGATAGGTGTGACATTTCAGCAAGGACACTGATTACAGACTTTCTAGAATGTATGGTACCCAAAGATACCAATTTAATGAGAATAAGGCCGAAACTGTACATGCTGACTTATTGGAATCATTCAGAGTGCCCTAGAAATGAAATAACTTGTGCTGGACACATGGTTGTTATATACTGCTCAATATTTGCAAAGGAACTCACCTTTGACAAGTGTTGAGTAGTATTTATTCATCCTGCAATATCATTTACAAATGCACTATGAAAATACATCAAGAAATCTAAAACTACCAGCCTGCATTCATAATGCTCCCTTACCTGGCAGCCTCTGTCGCTAGAGTAGTTCCCCCTCCTTGATGAGTCAGCCCGTGAAGATCCGGGGTAGAATAGGTCTTCAGCAACCCATGCATGCCATAAAAGGCGACTATGCTTATCACAGGAGGCGACTAACGGGATCGGGTGGTCATGCTCACTGACTTGGTTGATGCATGTCATCGTATCCCAATTGCCCAGATCAATTCTCATGTCAGTCACTGAATTATCTGGTCCAGACTCGATTATTTACAGACCGTCGTCATATAGCTGGAATATTGCTGAAACAATTAAACAACAAACAAACAAACCTTGTTCAGTCCAAAACATGAGCAACTACCTTGCCATAGCCTGGGTGTAGCTGCACAGCTGACTATAAGCTAACATGATGCTGAGATCCACGTTCAGTCTTGTAGACTCAAGAGTATTTGCCACTGACTGTTTGATATGACATCCATAGTCGCAGGAATCCATGATTGTTGGGGGCTAACTAAATATTTTATGTCTGTTTCAAAAAACATTTTGGAAAATGTATATGTTTTATATTTACGATCATAATTTACATTACACATTACGTTAAAATAGTCTGTAGGCAAAGTATGCACTGAAGGCACAGTAGGCAATTACAGTAACATAGGCACTGTAGACATAGACGATGTAGTTGGCAAAGTGCACTGTAGACAAAGAAGGCAATGTATTCAAAGTGCCCTGTAGGAAAAGTAGGCATTGTTAGCAAAGTACACTGTAGTAAAAGTAGGCATTGTTAGCAAAGTACACTGTAGTAAAAGTAGGCATTGTTAGCAAAGTACATTGTAGGAAAAGTAGGCATTGTTAGCAAAGTACACTGTAGGAAATGTAGGCATTGTTAGCAAAGTACACTGTAGTAAAAGTAGGCATTGTTAGCAAAGTACACTGTAGGAAAGGTAGGCATTGTTAGCAAGGTACACTGTAGTAAAAGTAGGCATTGCTAGCAAAGTTCACATTAGGAAAAGTAGGTATTGTTAGCAAAGTACACTGTAGGAAAAGTAGGCATTGTTAGCAAAGTACACTGTAGGAAAAGTAGGCATTGTTAGCAAAGTGCACTGTAGGAAAAGTAGGCATTGTTAGCAAAGTGCACTGTAGGAAAAGTAGGCATTGTTAGCAAAGTGCAC